GCCAATTCATCAACTGATTCTTTAAAAAAAGACAGGAAGAGAAAGCTTCCTCTGTCGGTCAGTCCAGGATGACCGCTGTTGGAGGGAACAGAAGGCCGAATCCCTGAGTGTGCACCACTCACCAGGGGAAGACTAGCCAAAACTAGTTGTGGAGACCAGCTTCCTCTGCCTTGAGGTGTCAGACATGGCTTTCAGCTGCTGCTGTGTCAGAAACAGATACACTTATTACAATGGATCAGTGCTTCAGTAAGATGTAACTGTTTGAATTGAGGGTCATTAAGATAAGATTGCTTATTATACTCATTTCAAAGCTTTACAAAATCAACATCTACCTTCCCTGTTTTGATTTAATCCACTGTTTAGTATAATCTAAGCTACTGTATGTCTGTCTTGAAATGTAAGATTTGAAACGTGTTCATTTAAAGTTCTAGTACATGACGCAAACATTTAATTTGAACAAAACGAAATGCAAAAAAAAACTAAAGGAGACAGTGCTGTATCATCTTAAATAATGTATTTAGTTGATAAAACAAAGTTGGAATGCAAGAATATGGATCTCAGAAAGTTTATTGTGATTATTATTAAGATGAAAAAATGTTGATTACTTCACACCTACAGTGCACAGGAATTAGTGAACTTTAATACTCCACTGTATCAGATAAACACAATAAGCATATTGCACTGTATCTCAACGAATCACAGTTTATCAGACAAATACAGTTTATTAATGACAGTAATGTCAAAGTTATAATGTAGCAAGAAAGAAAATTACCAAGGTCTTTTTGGCCATTTGTTTTCCATTTGGGGTACAACGCAGGGAGTGTCTGGTGTGGGGGGCGGAGCCCCGGATTAAGGGAAACGCGTTGCCGTGGAAACCACATCTGACTTGAATGAGTGAATGAACAGCAGGTGTAGAAGTGGTTTAAAAGTAGCCTAAATACAGTACTTCCTGGATAAGAGTGGAGGATGTCGCAGGACTTCAGTCTTGCTGTGGCTGCAGTGATTAGAGGAGAAATGTGGAGGCTCTCCTATGAGAGAGCCGGGCTGGAGCAGGACAGTAGCGGGTGTGAGACGCTACTAGTCGGGGCGATGTAAAGAACGAGTGAGCAGAGACTTGATTAGCCGCTGGAGAAGGGGTTGTGAGAGGAATAGCCTGCAAGGAAAAGCGTGAAAGCGTCCGTCTGCGAGGGGACTGACGGAAGATACGGAGCTTTATGAGATCATCAAAAGATTTAAAGGGGACAGCATCCTGTGGGGTGTGAAAACGGGGCTGGCGTGTCCGCTTTATGAGCAAGTTAGTGTGTGTGGACCAGAGTGGGTTGTGTGGTAGAGGGACCCTCCCCCTAGCAATACATTGGTATCGGGGAAGGAAGTAGGGTCTAGCTACACCCACTGGGAGGTAGTGCAGTGGTGGCTGGGCATGATGTAAGGTGCGCTAGCAGCTGTGAGTTCACAACGAGTGAAACGCCAGAGGGGTTGTGAGTGTGTGTGTGTTAGAGAGGGACAGTGTGTTGGGTCTTGGCACGGTGTGTAGTGCCGAAGAGACTCGGTGATGTAGGTAGTGTGTGTTTTGTGCAAGCCAACCTGGTGGCGCTGAGAGGAGAGCGTCAAGGGCGGAGGCAGACCTGGGAGTCTGAGGTACTGGTTGAGTGTGAAACGGTGACCTAGTGGAGTAGGAGCAGGAGGCTCCTAGCAGTGAGGACAACAGGGTGAACTTGAGATTCTGAAGTCAAAGGGCTCCAGAAGTAATGTGGAGTCATGTATCCTGTTACCCTGAGGAGGGGGTCAGTGTGATCACCACTTCTAAATCATGTAAGATAAAGAAAAGGAACCCAGAAGAGCTTATAAAGGGGTGTGACAGGAGAATGGGAGCCTGACCATGCCTAATGTAGTTGGCCCCCATGGCACCATGCATTACAGAAACAAGAGATGGAGAGAATCCCCCCTACCCGTTTGCATTATCAGCATTAGCTAGTAGCTACTGTATATCACCCTGCAGCTCACAAATGATAATCCACTGAAGCCAAGCAGGTGTGACATGGCCAGTATCTCCTGGGAAAGCCAAGGATGTGGCTGCAAGAGGTGTTGGTAAGACCAGTAGGGGGTGCTCATCCTGTGGTGTGTGTGGGTCCTAATTTTCCAATATATGGGTTGTTCTGTAAAAGAGGTGGTGACCTTCAGATTTAAATGGAAAACCGATCTCTTGGCTCTCTGTGGTCCTTAAAAATCCCAGGGCGTTTCTTGAAAAGTGATTATTCTTCACTAACTTTATTTAAAACCGATATCAGGTGTGTACTAGAGAAGAAATAACACTCAAGTTGCCTCACTTTTTTTTTTTCTCACCTTTGGCGAAAGGAATAAAAAAATCAGTATTTTGCTAAATTTATTTTACATTTAGATAGTTGTACTGTCTGACTGAGGAGCACATTTTCTCATGCATAAGAACTTTTTAAATGTTGCTCTTATTTTTGTTATTCTTACCCCATAAATAACAGGATTGAGAAAAGGTGGACATATTAAGAAGTACAGTGATAGTGCTACACGAACCTCATTGGGAATGTGACTCATATTAAATCTGTTTTGAATTGTTTCAAAGAGACATCCAATTGAAAAGTTAACAAGAGATACTAAATGGGTGCTGCAGGTATTGAAAGCTTTAATCTGGGATTGTCTGGGTGAATTTAAGCAGATCTTAAGAATTTTTGCATAGGAATAGAAAATTAGGAGCAAAGGCAGACCTATACAAAAAAAGGTACCAAACAGGCCATAAATATTATTAACAGTAGTGTCAGTACAGGCAAGCTTGACTAGTGAATAGTTATCACAATAAACCTTCTCTATGATGTTACCACATAATGGTAGGCGCACAGTAAGGCTGAGAGTGATACCAAATCTAACCATAGAGAAGAACCAGATAAATATAAGAAACCCACATGCTTTGTTAAGAGTCATGATTCTGTTGTAGTGCAACGGGTAGCAGATGGACACATACCTATCATAAGACATCAAAGCTAAATCTGAAAACTCTATAGATACATATGAGTGCAAGCAAAAAATTTGAACAAAACAGTTAAGTTTAGAAATGTCATGGAAATCTGACAAAATGTTGACCAAAAGTGAAGGGAAGAGAGCTGTGCTTCCATACAATTCATTTGCAGACAGAGCACACAAAAAGAAATACATGGGCTCATGCAGGGTCCTCTCCACTGAGATCACTGCTATAAGAAGTGAGTTTGCAACAATAATGCCAACATACAATACTAGTGTCATGGTGAAGCAGAAGTATCTAATCCGCCCAATTTCTCCATATGCAGACAGTATGAATGATGTGTTGTGAGATGAGTTCCCCATGATCTTCAGACTTGAGTCCGCTGCTGTGAGAGAAGCAGAAAAGTTGAGTGTAATGGAACATGTTCATTAAGCTGCTTGGGTGTTCAAAAATCATACGCTGCCGCCTTCCCTGTTTTGATTCAATTGAATGTAGCTGTTTTGTACAATCCTACAACATGTCTACAATATGTAATAATGACTATTAAATAATTATTTAATTAAGAAATTATAGATATTCTATGACAACTAAAGATTAATTAAAGATATATATTAAAGCAATTAAAGATGTATTTTACTGGACAATGGCTCATTTAAAAAATACAACACAAAGAGGTGTTCCATAATTTCAAAGTAATAAATATACAGGTAAACATATCGTCTGAAAAACGAACAGAATAAGAAACATTTAAGACAACTCTGTCTTTCTTAAGTCTCCCATTAATACTGTTAAATTTAACAAAATTATTTAGTTGAACTATCATTAAATAATGCATTTAAAATATATACCTTAACCCCTACAAAGATCATGTATCACTGCTACTCACATAATGGTCAAATAACAACCTTTATATGTTTGATGATCTTCAACACTATGAGTGTATATATGGCATTATAGTCATCAAGCTTCATATTTTTATAGTCACAGATTTTCTGTACTAATTGTAAAAAGTACACAGACAGAGAGAGAGGCAGAAACAGAGAGCAGGACTTTAAAAGAGAAGCCTGATAAGAGAACATTACCTGTGAGGCTGTTGGAGGAGAAGGTTTCATATCTAGCGTGCACTCTGAAAAATATCTGTGTGTGTTGTGCTTTATATAATTCATTTCTGGACAAGAAAACACAGACCGTATTTAGTTTGGTACTTGAAAATGTCCAGGGAAATTTATTGGCAGGTGACAAAATGATGAACAATTAATACAACATCACAGGAGGAAAACTGTTTTACTTAGAGATCCCCAGAATATTACATTACTAAACCACTAATCATTCATTACAGAAAATCAGAAAACAACAAACGTGACTACTGTGATTCTTAAATCACAAAGCTGATTTTTTTTTCAACAAATCTCCATATGAGACAAATATGACCATCTTTACATCATTTTGCACAGACATATTTGCTCTTTGTTTAATAAAAATGTGATTCACTTACATTTCAGAACTTATTTAGCCATGGATGTATAAAAATCCAAAACAATTAGATATTTAGAAAATTATATTTCTCATGTACTTTGTAGAATATTGAAAGAGACTCCATGAACGTTTTATTTCATCCAGTACTTGCCTCATCTGTCACTTTTGGATTCACTTAGAACACACACAAAAGATCATGCTGTATAATGGATTATGAGGTCATTAAATTTTATACCAAGTGTATCAATTAACATTTATGTTACTTGAAATGCTATATATAATTATGTTTTATGACATACTAATAAAAGATAAGATTTTAAGCAACTACTGTTAAAATGTTTCCTTAAGATGTTTTAACTGTAAATAGTATAATAAAACGCATGCCTCTGGAATATCTTTAAGCAATTTAACTGGCATGTAAACTGAGGTATTACCCAGGTATTGTGTAAGCAAGAATATCTTGCTTATAATGAATAAGTGCAGTTGGCAAGTTACATAACCAGACTGAGAAATTAAAATATCAGTGCAATAAAGTGTAAAATGGTGTAAAAGAGCAGCAGGAGAAAAGAATGAGGACATTGTACCTATTACATTATCATCTGTTCCAGAAACCTTAGGGTCATGATCTGTTGTTTACCTTCACCAAACCAGTGAGTCCAGTGATCATCTTTGGTCAGGGGTTAAACTAGGACATCAAGGCGAGAATCCTACATTCTTCTGTCAGATCAGTCAGTCAGAGAAGCTGCATACTGCCTACAAACAACATGCAGACTTCAAATGATGCTTTCTAAATTCTTTACTATAACTCATATGCTCTTTTGATTGCTTCTTGTCTCCTCATCTGCTCTCAGCTTTCTAGAAACCTCCACTTCTTGGTGTTTATATCAGCGAACCAATTAATTATTATCCTTGCCTGGTCATGTGATGGATGGTGACAGGTTATATACAGTAGTAAGAACAAGATTCACCTGCTGCCCTTTTGCACTTGTAATACTTATTCTGGGTTTCCCAAGGTATTTTATACCAAAATTATATACTGTATGTACAGTAATAGAGAGCTGAGTGATCACAGGTGCGGCACAACACATGAGCTTCAAGCATGTAATGAAATGTGCTCAGAATCTTAATTCTGATTTCTGTAAGTAGCTCATTTCATCAAGGAGGAGGGAAGGTGAAGAATGAAAGGGATCTGGAAGTGTGAATAAGGAGAGGGGGTACAGAAAGTCTGTAGAAACAGGAGGAGAAAGAAGCATATAAGGAGAGATAAGAGATTGAAGCTGGGCAGAAGAGGGATTATGAAAGCGATAGGAAGTTTTGGAATTCTGAATAAGGTGTAGGCAGCAATTGGGAACAAGTTATAGGACTGGAGCAACAGAGTAGAAAGAGAAAAGTGAGGAACAGAAAGTTGAAGCTGAGCAGCAGAATTCGGGATTAATTTGACAGAGTTGGCTCTGGGCCTTGTCAGCTGAGAGATTCAACATGCCATAGAAACATGCCAGAGCAAATGAAATAAATAAAAATGTGGTTTTACATTTTCTCATCTCTTTTGAAAGAGGAAGAAAAACAATATTATGTTTTGCTAAATTAATTTATCTTTATATTAGTTGTGCTGCCTCAATGAGGAGCTAATTTTCTCATAGATATCAATTTTTTAAATGACATTCTTATTTTTGTTATTCGTACTCCATAAATAATTGGATTGAGGAGAGGTGGAAATATCAAGAAGTACAGAGATAAAGGTATACGAACCTCATAGGGAATGTGACTCATATTAAGTCTACTTTGAATGACCTCAAGGAGACATCCCACTGAAAAGTTTACAAGAGATACTAAATGGGTGCTGCAGGTATTGAAAGCTTTAATCTGGGATTGTCTGGGTGAAGTTAAGCAGATTTTAAGAATTTTTGCATAAGAATAAAAAATGATCAGCAAAGGCAGACCTATAGACAAAAATGTACCAAACAGCCCATAAATATTATTAAGAGTAGTATCAGTACAGGCAAGCTTGACTAGTGAATAGTTATCACAATAAACCTTCTCTATGATGTTACCACATAATGGTAAGCGCACACTTAGGATGAGAGTGATACCAAATCTAACCATAGAGAAGAGCCAGATAAATGTAAGAAACACACATGCTTTTATAGGAGTCATGATTCTGTTGTAGTGCAACGGGTAACAGATGGACACATACCTGTCATAAGACATCGCGGCTAAGTCTAAAAACTCTATTAATCCATATGTGTGCAAGCAAAAGATCTGCGCAATACATTTAACTTTAGAAATTTCTTTGAACCCTGTCAAAATATTGACTAAAAGTGAAGGGAAGAGAGCTGTGCTTCCATACAATTCATTTGCAGACAGAGCACACAAAAAGAAATACATGGGCTCATGCAGGGTCCTTTCCACAGCGATGACTGCTATAAGAAGTGAGTTGGCAACAATGATGGCAACATACACTACTAGAGTTATGGTGAAGTAGAAGTATCTAATATATCCAATTTCTCCAAACGCAGCCAGTATGAATGATGTGATGTGAGATGAGTTCTCCATGGTCTTCAGACTTGAGTCCGCTGCTGTGAGAGAAGCAGAAAAGTTGAGTTCAGTGGAACATGTTCATTAAGCTGCATGGGTGTTCAAAAATCATACGCTGCCGCCTTCCCTTCGCCTTGGGAGGAACAGAAAGATTTATTACAATGGAGCAAATTTTAGTAAACTGCATGGTGTTTATGAGGTTTACTGAGATAGTATTTGCTTATTAAACATACTGTACTTGCAAACTATTATTACTATTAACTACTGTAGACGCCATTGTTATTCTCTATGTAGTTGTTATAATCCCAAGTGTCTAGGGGTAAAGAGGTGTAACATTTAGGATAATTTTTGGATGCGGGTGGGTTCTGGTGAGGGACTAAGAAGCCTAACAACAAGGGTTGGTGCCAAAAGTGGTTATTTTAAGGTAATTATTTTAAGTGGCTGGTACGTTACAGGACACACTAACACACTGGGAGAGGGAACTAGAGCGGTGCCAAAGAAAAGAAAATATACAAAATGGAGCTGGCTAAGAAAGGGAGGGAAAGCTGACCTAACTACAAAAGTAAACCCGAAACACACGGTCTTCAGCATCTTTAAACGCCCTAGCTAATGTTCACTTACTACCCAAAACCATACAAAACAAACGGCAATCACCCATACTAAACTAGTGTTACTAATACAGAGATCAACCACGTGTGCAGAATGTACCCAACAACCTAAACTAACCCTATACACAAAAGTTCACACAAATACACAAGTGAACTATGAATACCAATAAGGGAAAACAAGAATAGACACAAAGAACAGGGTACAAAAGAACACAGAGGTTGATATAACACGTTAGGGGAAGGTAATGGCGAAAGAAGGATAAACAAATAAACAAAAGTAGGAGGAGACAAACATAAACCAACAAACCAACAAAGCCAAAGCTATACGAAAACACACGCACGAAGCGAAAGGAAGCCAAAGCAAAAACAAAAGCAAAATGAAGCTGAGCCAAGCTGGACCGAAGTCAAACGAAAGGCCCCTTACTTCTGAAAACCTCCAACTTATATATTAAATGAGCTGAGTTCTGATTGGTCGAAAAACTGATTGATGATGACGTCATACGGAAACAATGGTGAAATAATGGACCAATGGGGGAGGGAGAACAATCAAGATCAGGAAGTGTGGAACATAGCAACAAAACACACATGGACCACACACTGGGACGTAACAGTAGTGTTGCAGTTGAGTGCTTGTATTCTATACTATCTTTAATAAGAAGTGAAATACTACATCTTTTAAAGGCTCTTTTAAAGAGCTGTTTAATGTTCTACTACATTAAGAAATATTTAACATGACAGAAACACAAAACAAAAGAAGGCACTGATCCATTATTTCCAAGAAATTAATTATGAAAGAACATCATAATTAAAAATGATGGATTTGCAAAGATAACTCTCTGTCTTCCATAAAGAAATAAAGGTACTTTTATTAATCTACTGTACGTTTTCCACACTGCATTGCTTAGTCCTGTATACGGTCACAGAATATCTGGTCTAACTGTAAAAAGTACACAGACTGAGTCAGATGAAGAGACCAAGGTAGTACATGGGTTAAAGAAACAAGAAAACACCATTTACCTTTAAGCCTTTTGACCAAGGAGCTTTTGTGTACAGAATCTGCATTAAGAAGTATTCCATGTGTTGTGCTTATATACTCCATTCCTGAACAACAAACCACACTTATAATTGGTTTGTTGAAATGAAAATGTCCAGGGAAACCCGTTATGACAGGTGACGTAATGATGACTACGGTGCACAATGTCACTGATGGGGAATTGTTATACCCAGTTGCGTAAAGAGTATTCATGAAGGAATTTTGGAGAAATATAGAAGGCCAAATATTTGTTTGCTATTACTAATTGTTCAGGTGCAGTTTGTATATAAGGACACATTTTATCAGCATGATGTTTAATCCACAAAACTAGACCTGGATTCAAAATTTTAGTTATAATTTACAATTATGTTTTCTTTATGCTAACATATGTAATATTTATGTACTCCTTATGAAGCAGTTTTATACAGTACATTATAGTTACAAATCTAATTCAAAAAGCAAATCATACAGTATGTTAAATAACTTGTGAAGGATAAAAGCTTTCATTGCTGTTTATTTCCTGAGCTATTCTTTTCAATGATCAGTGCCAGAAACTGGAATCATATAAACAATATTGCAACAACCACAGAGCCTATAAGACTAGCAAAAATCTGCTGTATATGTCTTTACTCTAACTATATAATCTACAGTACAATACAAGTAAAACAATGTAGTCGAAATATGGCCAATGTTTTTCATAAGTACTCTGTATGAGTGATATGATTTGACGTACAGTAAGATGTTCCTCATTTCAAGTAAGAGATCTTTAGTTCTGAATTAACAGTGTGGAAAGCAGACAATTATTTTTCTGTAGTGGTGTGTATTTCTGTGGTAAACACATGGAAAGCTATGTGCTGTAGAAGATCCATTAGGGGTGTGTCAGAAGCTTCTTCACTCTTTATCACAATGCAGTCTTTCTTCAGAACTGAATCATGGTACTGAATCAAACGGGGTTGGAAAAATCTACTGACCACATTTCCTGATATTACAGGCAAAGCCTGCAATTGCAACCCAACTGAGAGAGTCTCTTTTTATCACCAAGTCTCTGAGACCACAGGGGAAGGCCTTGGAGACTTGTTAAAAATGGTTAATCTATGAACATTTTCATGTGGATTGTGTTTTTCCATAAATAGGTAAAGTACAGAGGGAAACACAGCTATCTTTGATGTGGGAGAGTGGTCTAGAACCTCAAGACAGCCTAGAACAGTCAAGATCTGACTCTTACACATAGGTGTGGCTAGGCTTTGGCAAAGGCGTTTTGTTTAGAAAAAAAACACATCTTTTATAAAATATGCAATATTCTTTATTAAACCTCTTGTAAATGTTCAAGGAGGTAGCATGCTGTCAAATGTTGGCTGCAAAGGAACAGGTAAAGGTTTATTCCATGCTGAAAGAAAAAGAAACACAGGCACTAGTGTTTCAGACACCTGAAGAAGGAATCACACCCAAAATGTTGCTTTTCTTTTCTTTTCTTTCCAGCATGGAATAAGACTTTACATGTTCAGTCAATGGGACATGCAAAAATGTTATAGAAAAAAAGTAGAAACAAATTCCTGTATTTTGAAGCACAAACTAGGGAGCATGAGAGAAAATTTTGTGGAAGTTCATTTAAACTGGGAGCAATTCTTTGCTCAAATGGACCAGATGGACTGACACTGTCTGAGAATGAAAACAATAATAAAACAGTGCTCAGCCATTCTCTCACTCATCTTGCCCCTCTTGAACAACACCTGTACAAACTCAGTGTCGTTACATACAGTATAATGCCATTAAAGTGATTTGCATGTGTCTGTTGAAACTATTTTAAGATACTAGCTAAGCAGCACTTGGGTTCACACCTAGATAGAGGGTCATTTCTATGCATGTAGTAATTATTCAAAAATAAGGTTTATTATGTGACATACCATACTAAAGACTGATAGACAAGTGACATCATTTTAGAAGAAACAATGAAACAAGTGACATACTGTAGAGTAAGTATATAACCAGCAGACCTTTAATGTGCAATTTATCTTCATTCTGTAACAATTCAAAGTTTATAGCACTAATTTGGATACTAGCAGTACTAGTAATGCATGTTTCATGTTAGGCAAGCTAAAACCTGTTTAGAAAAAAACAGTGTACCAGAAAAATTAATTTAGGGGATTACATTTGATCCTCTTCTGTGTTTCAGTCACAGGGATCCCTATCTTTTCACATAGCATTATTTTTAATCTGCTCTTTATGGCTTGAGTCTTTATTCCATAGATAATAGGGTTCAGAAGAGGAGGAAATATTAAAAAGTAGACTGATAATATTACACGAGCCATGTAAGGCATGTGACTCATGTTAAATCTGCTTTGGATTAGTTCAAATGCAGAACCAGCTGCAAAGTTTAACAGTGTCACTAGATGGGGAATACAGGTGTTCAGCGCCTTAATGCTTGAATCTCTAGAGGATTTCAGGCAAATCGAAAGAATCTTTACATATGAATAAAGGATAATGAGGCTTTGTAAAACAATGCAAACAATTATCAACATTATTCCAAATATATTATTTATGGTAGTGTCAACACAGGCGAGTTTGATCAATGAATAATTGTCGCAGTACACCTTGTTGATGACCCAGTTACACAAGGGTAGCTGAATACAGTACAAGAAGAAAACACTAAAAATAGCCAATGGAAACAGCCAGATCAACAAAATAAGCTTATGAACTTTTGATGGTGACATGATCATATTGTATTGTAAAGGATAACAAATAGACAGGTATCTATCGTAACCCATCACTGCTAAACTTGTCAGCTCCACAATCCCATATGTGTACAAACAGAAGATCTGCATCAGACAATGAACTCTAGAAATTGTATAGTTTCCTGATGCAATGTTGAACAACAAAGATGGAAACAAGCCAGTGCTTCCATACAGTCCATTGACTGCCAAACTGCAGAGTAAAAAGTACTGGGGCTCATGCAGACTCCTGTTTGCATAGATCACATATACCAGCAATATATTAACACAGATGATCACAAGATACAACAGTAGTAAAACTGTAAAAGCTAAATATCTCAGGTCTCCCATGTCACTATATGCAGCCAATATGAATGATGTCCCATCTGATGTATTTGCCATGGCTCGAAGTCACCTGTGAGAACAGGAATTATTGCAAACGTTAAAAAATATCTCTTTACAATGACTAAATGCATGAAAGATTTTTGATACTGGTGCCTGTAATGCAACATTTTTAATCATGAAATAATTAATGTTAAGATGATAATTTACACATGTTCATAAAACAATTAGCTAATCTGATTACAGTGAAATATACCATGTTGCCATATGGCTGTATTTAAAATTATTAAAGTTATTGTTTTAGTGTTATGCTTATTTTGCAAATTAAATATTTTACATGCAATAAAAATAGTCTATTGCCCTTACAGCCATGCTTCACATGCTGTGAATTACAGTACTACTGTATGTCAGTAGTTATATTGGTGCTTAGCAATGTGGCAAAATTCCAAACAGGCAAAGAAAAATTCGTATTTAGTTCATAAATGGGAAATTCTAACTTGTTTATTTCCTGAGAGAAATAATTAATGACCATTGTTTCTTCACTAAAATGCATATTTGTTGTTTTAAGAATTAATTTACAAATCAGAAATGAATACCTTACAAGATTACAATATTAAAGCTTTCATCCCAGTTCAGACTGATGTAAAACCTGAAACAAAGAAAACATTGTAAGGTCATATTGATTCATATTAGACTTTAATTAGACATGAAAGGATTAGCAGAAAAAAAGGCATTACACAGAGCCCTTTTCACTCTTCCAAAAACCAAAAGCTCACACCAGGCAACTGAGTCTTCCCACTGTTCCAAAATCCTGGCTCTACACTAAGTGACAGAGCCTTCTCAGTCTACCAAAGAGCTGTACCACAGAAGAGATTGGCATGTCTGTAGCACCACTGACCACATCAGAGGCTCTGCTACTACTGACACTTACAATATGGATAGCAGACAGTACCTATCCCCAGGATGCAATGTTGATCCATTGTAAGGCCACAGAGAAAGGAACCCTTTGGTGTTGCAATCAAATCCAGCAAGCATGTCTTTGAGAAGTAGTAGAGAGACAAAACACCAGACAGGAACCTTAATGACTAAAGGGAGAACATGCATTCAGACAATTTCCCAGTTCCCAGTTCTGAGAAATTAAAATGTAAGACATTGTCATCAAGACCAAGAACACAAGGACTTTTTTGTCTGCATAATTAACTAATTATACAGTAATCATATAATAAAAGATCTTCGAAGATCCTCTTTAGTGCACACAGTAAATATACTGGAACTACTCCATCCTCATTAATGGTTCGATAATAGAAATGTCTCCATCAGAAGGTAAGCAGCTTACATGGGTAGAATGTTTTTGTCTTAATTTTTGTTGTCCTTTAAGTTTTTTAGGCAAGGTAAAGTGAAGCAGCTTTTGTACAAGTTCATGCAGAACATTTATGATCTTCAGCTCTTTTAAACTGTACATTTGTAGGGGGGATTGTGTCCTATGATGTCAAATCAAATGCACATGAAAACATGAAGGTAATTGCTGGGTGTGCTGCTAATTACCAACACCTGTGCAAATCACTTGAGCTTTTCTGCTCTGTGGAGCCTATTCCAAAAAATACTCCCTTGAATGTTACCTTAACAGATATGCTGCGCTGTAGATATGCTTCCAACTGAAGTTACTAAAATACCTGTGTGTGGGATGTTGGAAATTCCACCTACTGTACACTGTATATATTTTCAAATTTAGTGCTTGTTATCTTTCAGAGTTTGATGCAGTCTTTCCAAAGCATACCTGTATATAGTTAATGATATCAGATCTTCAGATTCAGATATGGAATTACCCATTTTGCTATTCATTGTTAGCTCTCTATTACAATGGAGCCTCCTGAATAGTTGTCATTATTTAAGAAATCATTTTTGGCAAAGATACTAGAATGGGTCTTCACTGTTCTGTGACAAGATGATTTCTCTGCAAATAATCCACATAAACCATTTCAGTTTGATTTTTGATCTACAGTTTACATCTACAGTTTTGATCTGTATGTGTAGCACAGAAACAGGTCTTCTTAGGTCTACTAATGATTCACTAATGTCTAATAACTGAAATTACGTTGTTCAAATCATAATTCAAATCAATCATCGTTCTTCCTCCACATCTGACATCCTGCACAGCTCCTTTCTAAAACAGGCTCCTATTTTTTTACTACTGGGCCAAATTCTTCAGTAATTTGGGAGGCATACTCAGACTTGCTTCCATCGCAAACAATATGTATCAAAAACATCATTTTTCTTTAATCTGTCAATGTTGAAAAGTCTTCTGGCAAGCAACAGTATAATGACGTTTTCCATTGAAAACCTAAAATGGATTATTATTATTATTATTATTATTATTATTATTATTATTATTATTATTAAGTTATTCAATTAATGAAAATTAATGTGCTTCAGTTTCACTGACTTGTTCTTTTTAACCTCTCAAAGCTTCTTCAATATTACATTTTGAAATCACTTAGAAAAGGAATTTGATTCCATGTAGAAAACTTTATCACCAATAATTACAGTCCAATATTGCTTTAGTTACAATTTAGGCCCTGAACCAGGACTTTACTGTCTATACTTACAAAACCATTACAGAGTGTTTAAGAGGGCATTATTTCAAGTAGAAATTGCTTCTAGAGGTCTGTGTCACGTGCGAATACTGAAAGGTTACAATTAGAGTAAGCATTATTAAATATATATATATATAAGTTTTGTACAAAAGCAGAATTGCAATCTCAGCTGCAGTGTAAATATTTCATTGGAGATGAGTGTGTAGCTGTTGGCCCTTAGTAAGAGAAAATGACCCGTTTTGTTTTATGTTTGAAAAGTTTTAAGTTCAGTTTCTGATGTTTAATTTGAACTTGTTGATAGTTTTTTTTTGTTTAAATTTGTTTTTTGCTTTCTAATATAATGTTTAATTTATTTTCTATTTCTGTGTTTCAAAATGAATTGATTTTAGCTGTGTTTGAAATTCTGCCTGCTAAGGAGGATTCTGTACTATATGAGGAAGAAGATAAATCCTTGCACTCCACTCTTAGGGCAGTGTGCAGCTCTACCTGGATGATGCTGGTGACAGCAGCCATAGTGCATTAGTATGCTCACCTCACATCAATGGAGAGGAGAACAGAGTGATGAAGCCAATTCTTAGATGGGGATCAATAAGAGGCCATGATTGGTAAAGACCAAGGGGGGCAGGACACCAGGGTAACACCTACTCTTTCTGAGAAGAGCCCTGGGATTTTTAATGACCACAGAGTCACAGAGTGTACCCATCACCATACTGGGGCATTAGGACCCACACAGACCACAGTGTGAGCACACCCTACTGGCCCCACTAATATGTCTTCCAGCAGCAACCTTAGTTTTTCCCAGGAGGTCTACCGTCCAGGTATTGACCAGGTTCACACCTGCTGAGCTTCAGTGGATTGCCAGTTGTGAGCTGCAGGGTGATATGGCTTTTGGCATAAGATGTTCATCTGGGTGATTGTTGCTGATGTATTAGTAGTTTAAAATTATTCAGTATGATTATTTACAATATGAGCTCAGGGTTCAGGAGTTTTTTTCTGAAGAGTCGTCAGTTTTTTAATTTAAGAATAAGTCTAGTAGGAATAATCCTTTGTTGCTAGAGAAGGTGCCAGGCCTCAAAACCACCATGGACAACTGCCACATAATGCCAGACATGCAGACAAAGTTTCTAGGCCTTCATCTTGGAAGACAGTACATAATGAAGCAAAAAGATTGTTAATCATTTTATTAGGAAATACATGTGACATTTTAATTTAGAATCAACAATCAATTTTGTATATCTTTCAAAATTAAAAATAGTATTCCTTAGATGTAAACAATCATACCCAAACATCGCATTTATCTACTGCCTTTTGATAAGAAAAAGTAATTTTCATATTATACTTTCAACCCACATGTAACATTATTGAAACCTTGTAATTTACCATACTCTGAATTATCAAACTGTTCAATGTATTTTCTTAGGCAAGAATCAGTCTCAAATTGGTACTTCTTTAAAAATAATAATGGAAGCATTCCGTGAAGAAAAAGCAGATCTTAAAAAAGATCAAAAGATAAAATGAAGTATTGCTAATCTGCAAAGAAACTGAGCTAGCAAGGGGTGGTTTGGGTTAAAGGTGGTGGTGGCAGAGGGAAACATTGCTCCTTCTGCAATCCTTCTTGTATTCTGGTACTCACCCCTGCCTGGTCATTCATCCTCCAGAATTAGTTTTAAGTGTCTATAACATTTCTTTTCTCCATCTTCTTTTCTAGTAAGAAAATCGTAATCTTGTTTGGATGTAATATTTTTCTAACCTTGACCCTTATAGCCTGAATACTTATCCCGTAAATAACAGGGTTTAGCATGGGAGGAATTATCAAGAAGTAGAGAGACAGTAATATACGCACTCCGTGAGGTACATGGCTCATGCTGAATCTGGTCTGATACAGCTCAAATAAAGCACCAACAGAATAGTTCAGCAATGCTAGCAAGTGAGGAGAGCAGGTTTTCAGTGCTTTAATTTTTGACTCCCTTGAAGAATGTAGGCAGATTCTTAGAATTTGTGTGTATGAATAAAGGATCATTAAGAGTTGAGGGAGAGTAAAAATAATTATTGATATCTGCCCAGCAATATTATAGAGGGTTGTATCTACACAAGAGAGTTTAACTAATGAATAGTTCAAACAGTACAACCTCTCTATGACCCTGCCACATAGGGGCAGCTGTAGGGTTCCAATGAAAAAGATGCTAAAAGACAGAATTGGATAAACACATGAAAAAATAATAAGTTTATAAACCTTTGAAGGGGACATGATGTTTTTGTAGTGTAATGGGCGACAGATAGCGACATACCTGTCATAGGCCATCAGTGCCAAAATGGTAAATTCAGCATTTCCGTATGTGTGTAAACAGAAGACCTGTGCTAGGCAACAAGCACGGGACACCTCTCGAACCTGCGACAACATGTTACCCATGAGCGAGGGAAAGAGAGCAGTGCTGCCATACAATCCATTTAACACTAAGGTGCAAA